GCAGCAGCAGCAACAGCAGCAGTCATAAGCAACAGAAAAAGCAAAAGGTGGAGAAACCAGCAGAGACCGCCGAGTCGAGAACGGAGAAGCTGCACAAGAAGCTGCACCACATTCTCCACGTGGATTTGAGAAGAGCGGTGAAAGACGCGCGTGTATCTGAGCACAAGCGGCTACAGAAGAAGTTAACTCAGTTGGAAAAGATGTCAAGTAAAGGCGAGAAGGTTGATAGCCAGCAGCAAGAAGAAGCACAGAATCAACTTATCGAGACCAAGGAGTATGATGGTCTACCTGCTGCACAGCACACCTTCTTTTCTAAACTCTCCAAACATAATCAAGGTGCTTTTAAAAGTCGCGAGGAGGTTATACACGCACTTAACAAGCTCAGCTTCAATTGGCCAGCAATTTCTCTCCCTTCAAACGCTCCACAGGGGAAAGTTGCAGCTCGATTCATGTCCATTGAGCAGATCAGCAGCGTCGCTAAGTCTGCTGTTGATTCTGTCGTCTCTATCCTCGGTGACGGTGCAAAGAAGGAGAATGAGGTGAATGTGCAGGCTGAGCAGGTTCCAGCAGACGATAAACAAATAAAAAATGATAAAACTCTTCAACCTCCCACTCAAATCAAGAAAGAAAGACCCGCGACAGATAATTCAGCACTCATCGCTAAACTCACCAATTCTCTCGGCGGTACTGTTAGAGATGATGATGACGAAGAGGAGGAGGATCAAGAAGCCGACTCTGATGCTCCTCTTTCCGGATACACAAGCGGTGAAGCTTCCGACGACGCACTCCAAAACTGGCCTGATCCTGACGCTGATAGTGACGGTGATGATGATAACGATGATATTAATAACGATGATATTAATAACGATGATGATGATGCTGACAATGGCAACGCCTTGCTCAACTCTCTCAATACTGGTGTTGGGTATATCTCAGGTGGCAGTGATGATATCAGCGATGCAGAGGAAAAAGTCGCTCCAAGGAAGAATAGAATGGGTCAGCGGGCTCGCAGAATGATACACGAAAAGAAGTTTGGCAGAGGTGCAAACCATGTCCAGAAAAAGTTTGAAGAGGATAAACAGCTTGAGCGTGCTAAGAGGATGGGCAGGAACAAGCTCGATTCTGGCTGGAAAGGACGCCAGCAGAGGCAGTCTGAGGATCAAAAACCTAACAAGGATCTTAACGGGGGCTATAAGAAGGACTTTAAGAAGGACAATAAGACTGACTCTAACCACTCAAGCAAACACGACAGAGGCTATAAAAACCACAGCAAGCCACATAGCAAGCCATCCGTGCCTATTAAACCAGGCACAGATGCAGCCGCAGATGACCAGGGTCAGTTGCATCCTTCATGGGCAGCCAAGAAAGCACAGGCGGAAGCCATAGCAAATGCGCCAGCGCCCACCAAAATTACATTCGACTAGACACGCTATAGATACATTTAACTTATTATGCCAGCATGGTACGCGGGCTTTGTTGTGATTGGAATGCGCATTCGACTAACGCCATCCTCGTCAGCGGGGGGCAAGCGACCACCGCGAATATTGAACTGAATAGCAGGATGAAGGAGTTTGGGTGTATTGAGAGAGCTATCTTTCTCCATTCTGAACCATTCTGAATTGAGCAAAGTGGTCCATCTTGATATGATCATTGAGAAGCAGCTGATCTGCGACGGTAGTTGAGCAGCTCACCTGCTTACCATCACCTGGATAATCATGACCGACGAAAAGCTTGGTGTCACCAGCCAGACCCATCAGCCTATCGATGGAAGACTTCAGCTGGGACGCTACACCGCCTGGAAAATCCGCTCTAGCGGTGTGAGTGGGGGCCAAGAAGATGGAGTCGCCGGTAAAGACGTGTCCTCCGAACACATAGCCAACATGGTCAGGCGTATGACCCGGAAGATGGATGACGCTGCCTGAGCAATCACCCAGCGAGATGGTCTCTCCATCGTCGAGCAGTCCATCGAAGCTACCTTGCAGTGATTCGAGAGAAAGGTTGTATTTTGGTCCGAAAGTGCGCTGCACGTCCACTATCCGCTTCCCAATGCTAACGGGTGCGTGGAGGTGGTGCCTCAGGTAACGCGCTGCAGTGAGGTGGTCTGCATGTGCATGTGTCTCCAAAATATGGCGTACTTCTAATTTGCTCGTGGATATGTGCGCTAGTAGTCCATCGGCACTCTGCGTACTCACATGCCCACTATTGCTGTCATAATCGAGCACTGGGTCTATCACCGCGGCTTGCAGTGTTCTAGGACAGTGCAGCACGTACGTCCATGTCGAACTGTCCTTATCGTAGAACGTCTGGGTTGTGGGTGTGTTGGCAGCTACATGCGTACGGAATGGCGGGGTTGGAGTGGCTGCAGCAGTACTTTGAAGTCTAATACCGCCTTTTATCCCACCAGCTACTTTCCAATTACGATTACGTATAATTTTCGCTATCATGGTCGAGTCACTAATCACGTCATTCACCGATAAACTTCTTGGTTGGTTACCATCAAAATTTAACCGAGTTTAATGTTATAGAGGAGAATGTCAAGCAATCTGTCAAGCTCTCTGCTAAGCTCTCGCCTCAGCCGCTCACTCAGGAA